TCTTTCTTTCTTTCTTTCTTTCTTTCTTTCTTTCTTTCTTTCTTTCTTTCTTTCTCCCTCTTTCTCTCATTCTTTCCCTCTTTTTCTTTTCTCTCTTTTTCTTTCTCTCATACTCCTTTTCTCTTCCTTCCTCTTTCTCTCTTTCTTTCTCATTCTTTCTCCCTCTTTCTCTCATTCTCTCTTTTTCTTTTCTTTCTCTTTCTCTCATTCTACTTTTCTCTTTCTTTCTTCCTCTTTCTCTCTTTCTTTCTCATTCTCTCTCTCTTTCTCCCTCTTTCTCTCATTCTTTCTCTCTTTTTCTTTTCTCTCTTTTTCTTTCTCTCATACTCCTTTTCTCTTCCTTCCTCTTTCTCTCTTTCTTTCTCATTCTTTCTCCCTCTTTCTCTCATTCTCTCTTTTTCTTTTCTTTCTCTTTCTCTCATTCTACTTTTCTCTTTCTTGTTTCCTCTTTCTCTCTCATTCTTTCTCCCTCTTTCTCTCTCATTCTCTCTCTTTCGTTCTCTCCCTCCCTCTCCTCTCCTTTCCAATCTGTCTTTCTCTCTCTGGCTCTCCTCCTCTCCCTCTATCCTCTTCTCTCCACTCCCTCCCTCCTCCTCTCCCTCTCTCCTTCTCTCTCCCTAGGTATGTGACAAATGCCGACAAAGGACTCGAAGCACCAAGAAGCTGACCATCCAGCGTTTCCCCCGTATCCTCGTGCTACGTATCCTTTCCCCATTATTGGCTTCTCCGTCTCCCTCCTGGCTTCTTGAGGGAAGGAAATGCAGGAGAAAGAGGGAGAACGGTGATGTGGAGTCACCGAACAGCGAGAGGGGCTGCCTAAAAGCCATCAACATGGGCAAAGGCCGGAGTTATCCTCTCCTTGACTAGCTGTTTCCCCAGATCTCAACCGGTTTTCCACCACCCGCTATTCCATTAAGAAATGCTCTGTCTATGTGGATTTCCCCCTCCAGCAGCTCAACCTGAAGGAGTTTGCCAGCGAAAAGGCCGGTAAGGGATCTCCTGAATTGGCAATGATTCTTTCTGGATATCTTTTTTTTTTAAAGAAGGGAATGGAATGGAACAATGAATGAGGAGAGAAAGTAGAGGATGGGATGGGAATAGAATAGGATTGAGGAATAGAATAGAATAGAATAAGGGAGGGGAAGGGGAAGGGGAGTAGAATAGGAGATTAGAACAGAATAGAGTAGAATAGAATAGGAACTAGAACAGAATAGAACAGAACAGAATAGAAAATAGAATAGAAATTAGAATAGAAACTAGAATAGAATGGAGAACAGAATAGAAACTAAGAATAGAATAGAATAGAATAAGGGAGGGGAAGGGGAAGGGGAGTAGAATAGGAGATTAGAACAGAATAGAATAGAATAGAAACTAGAATAGAACACAACAGAATATGGAATACAATAGAAATGAGAATAGAAACTAGAATAGAATGGAGAATAGAAACTAAGAATAGAATAGAATAGAATACAATAAGGGAGGGGAAGGAATGGGAGTAGAATAGGAGATTAGAACAGAATAGAATAGAAACTAGAATAGAATAGAACAGAATATAGAATAGAATAGAAACTAGAATAGAAACTAGAATAGAGAATAGAATGGAGAATAGAATAGAAACTAAGAATAGAATAGAATAAGGGAGGAAGGGAGGAGAATGGGAAGGGGTGTAGAGTAGGAGATTAGAACAGAACAGAGTAGAATAGAATAGAATAGAAAGTAGAATAGAACAGAATATGGAATAGAATAGAAATTAGAATAGAAACAAGAATAGAATGGAGAATAGAATAGAAACTAAGAATAGAATAAGGGATGGGAAGGGGCAGCGAAGTAGAATAGGAGATTAGAACAGAACAGAATAGGAGAATAGAAATTAGAATGGAAACTAAGAACAGAATAGAGAATAGAATAGAATTTTAAAAAGTATTTTTAAAGAGAGCCAATCTCACTCTTGGCATCCAGCCTGTTTTCCGCTATCGGTGTACATCACATGCCATTCTCTCTCTTTTGGAGGCACCCCCGTATACAACCTGTACGCCTTGTGCAACCACTCCGGAAGTGTCCACTACGGTCATTACACAGCCTTCTGCAAAGATCAATCTGGCTGGCGTGTCTTTAACGATTCCCGGTAAGTGTGTGTGTGTGTGTTTGTGCATTTAAACGTAGCACGTAAACAGTTGAAACGGGTGGACTTTCTCGGCGGGGAAGTGAAGTACATCAAATTACAGCTAGTCCTTGACGTAACCTCCCCATTTTTATGTTTAATATTTTTCTAAAAAAATTAAAGACAAATGTCTCGCTTAACCAACGATTTTGGGTTCCATTGTGGTGATAACTCGAGCGCTGCCTCTACTCACTCTCTCCTCTCCGTGTTCCCCTTTTCCCAATCCCTCCTTCCCTTCCGCAGGGTGTCCCCCATCAACGAGAACCAGGTCCCTTCCAGCGAAGGTTATGTACTTTTCTACGAGCTGGACGACTTGCACTGGAAGAAACAGTAAAAAAAGGAAGGAAAAAAAACAGGGAGAAAAAAAAGAAGTATTGATTCCCGGCCCTTTTTGACCACGAAGCCCCTCTTAACCTCAGAGACTGGCGTGTGGGCTCTTTTAAACCTTCAGAAGAAAGGGAAGGGGGAAATAAAAGCAGTGGTGGAAAAAAAAGAATTAATAAAACCCAGGAAACGATTACCACGTGAGGAGTTTGGTTCTCCCAACGCTTGGATCGCCGCTTCTGGTTTTTTTTCCCTACCTTTTTAAATCCAGGTTTCTTTGGGGCTTTTTTAAAAAAAAAAAAACACATTGTTTTATTTTTATTTCTTGCCTCTGTGGGGTTTTCCTCGCTCCTCAATTCCCCAGAGTTTTAAGATTAGAAGGGGGAGAGAAAAAACATTGATTTTGTGGGGAGGGAAAAGGAGGATCGGAAGGGTCGCAACCTCAGAGAGAGGGAGACACGCTGTGAAGCGAAGCAGCCTTTTTCCTCGTCTGCGCATCCATTTTTCCCCCTTTTTTCACCTCCTTCCTTCCTTCCCCGGCTCTCTTCCCCCTAACCCTCAGGGCCAAACTTAAGGTGTGCTTAGACACCCCACCCCACCCCCTCAGTCCGAGACTGGGGCGTCGCGCTTGGTTTTAACAACTTTCTACACAATGAAGGGTTTGTTGTACATTTGCAGTAGATGACGAGAGAAAATGAAGAGATTGAAACTTTTTGTGAATAAATTTATTTAACAAAAAAAAAAAAAAGAGGAAACCCCTCACTTTGTCTTTGGTTCTGTTTGGGGGGGAGGGAGAGGGAGGTGTGTCCCCCCAAAGGACCAGCTTTTTGAAAAGTTGGCTTGAGTTGTGAGTGATCCCTGGGGAATTTGGGGGAGGCTGAGAATTTCTTGAGTTTTCACTGATCCAATAATCTGATGCGTACAGAGAAAAAATAAAGAAATTATAAGGGGCTTGCTCCTGGGGAGGAAAGCGATGGCAAACCTAGACGGCATCCTAAAAAGCAGACACATCGCCCTGCCAATCAAAAGTGCATGGAGTCAAGGCTACGGTTTTCCCAGTTGCAATGGATGGCTGTGAAGGTTGGACCACAAGAAAGGCTGAGCACCAAAGAATGGAGGCCTTTGAACTCTGGTGCTGGAGAAGACTCCTGCATTGAGTCCCTTGGACTGCAAGGCCATCCAACCGGTCAGTC